GACTGTATTCCAAAACGTTCCAAATACAAGTCTTGAATAGGGCCCTACAAGCAAAGAGAGAAGTCTTTACAAAGAAAATATTTGTTCAAGCAGAGCAAACACAGCTTTCCAGAAGCTTAAGGAATCATGTCTCTTATCTAACGGGAACACATAAGAAGTATGAGGTTCGTAGAACGCCACAGAGAGAGCACGTCATGGTGAATGAATGGTTCAACCAACATTTGGACTTTGGTCTTAACAGTCAGTTGGCATCCTTTAACCATTTCAACAATCTTTCTCTGATCAGTTGGGTTTCTATCCCAACAGAATCTTAATCATAGAGATGTCAGTTGAGAAAATGGGTTGTTTTTTGTAACAATGACTGAAACGCTTTTGAAGGACAAAGGATCTTGTCCATGAGACCGGTGCCTCTAAAAAACGCTAATGTGTGGAACTGCAATGTTTTCATGTTTTCTTTGAACCATGAATCTTTCCTGCCTCATAATCACATTCCTTAAGCTCCCTAAAAATAACCAGAACTCAATGACACACGTGGCAGATCAGAAAAAGACTGTACTACTCCATTAAGGCCCAGATACACCGGCCAGTCACCTGAGAAGTCGCCGACGCCGACACCGACTGTTGCATCGCCGGACTCTCCTGCATATTTGCCGACTTCGCGCACTGGAACACACCGCAAATCCGAGCCGAGCACGTATGAACTGCGTATGCGTGAGTGGCAATAACTCTCCTTACCAGCAGGCGGCGGTAGTGTGTATTCATCATTCAAAAGAGGCAACAACCGGAAGACAGAGAAGAAGAACAGACTGTGATATAAACAAACAACAAATAGCGTTTTTCTTTCCATGTTCACTCTCGTCCATTGAAAACATGAACGAACAGGAGCTCTATAAACCGATGAGGTGAAATAGCCGTCCGTGTGTGTTCCATCTTCCATTTTAAATCATTTGTTTACCTCCCTCACTTCCGTTAACGCTTCTCATGCACTGATTCGCTAGCTGAACAGCCAATCAGTGTTATCCCTTTGTCCGACTTCCGGTGGTGTTCCCGACGCCGATTCAACATGTTGATCCAACATGTTGAATCGGCAAGAAAAGGCGTCAGGTCGGCAGAAAAGACCCGACGGTGCGGCGCACACCACTCCGAATAGGGCGTGCCCACGCTCATGATCGGCCCGACTCCCATTTACTGCCGATTTCGGGCCGGTGTATCTGGGACTTTAAACCCAGCAAAGATAACAGCATGCAGCTCGCTCTGTAGTATGAAACAGATTGATACACATAAACACAAAGAAATACAACATACAGTACAGGTTGATGTGTTGATGGAAATACACACAAAGGATGCACTCTGTTTAGTGAAGGGATGTCTTGATTCATTTTGAGGTCCCTTTGAAGTAGTGGAGTAGTCTTGGGTCCATTATTCAAGTTTATGTGTCAATGTATTTATAGTCGTTTGTGTCAGTTTGTAGTTATTTGATGTAAAGGAGCACCGATGCATCGGACAGACATCTCCATCAGCTGATGTTTGACATCATTTCTGCCATCAGCAGGTCAGCAATAAAGGAGGACATCATGCGATGGCAGTAGCTGATCTTAATATGTTGTGCTGGGCCATGTGAATTGCCCACATTGCCAACGTTCAGATCAGGGCTGGGCAATATACTGATATTAAAGATGAAAGCTTCAAAGACTAAATGGTTGTATCGTCATATGAACAACAGTTGTAGTTTAGTTTTAGCTAGAGCTTGAAGTGGGGATCAAAGTGCCACGCCCTTATTCACATATTAGCTTGTTTATCAGTAAACAATTATTACAGTGAATAACAAGCGAAGTCCTTCTCAGTCTGCTCCAGGTTTAATTACACTGCCCTTCATTTGAAATACCAAACATATATCTATAGGTGGAGATGAAGCCCTTCAGAACTTGGATCAAAGAGTGCAGCGTGTAATAAAGATTAGATCTAATAGAGTATCTTACTCAAGAACAAGTTAGCGTACATAAATACATTTTACATTAATATACATTATAGAAAAATGACTTGCAAATAAATTGACAGAGAAAATTGAAAGATATATAAAATACTTCACCCTTGGATAGACATAAAGGAAATAAAGAAAAAGAAGTGCAATAATGCTGTGAAAGTGACACAATTGTTCACATAAATTATGCCTATCACAGCCCGTCCCCTCTCAATAAATTAAAAACTTTTTCTATTTATTTATTATTTTATAAGATGAGGGAAAAATTAATGGCAATTTATTTAAATTAAATATGTCTTATCATCATAAAAAGTAACGTGTAACAATGAATTATGAGGACGACGAGAGTGTAGTAATGTGTACAGCAGCTCAAGTAGCTTTTGAAAAGTTATCTTTGAATTTGGGCTTGATTAGAGTTAGTGTCCATTTGTGGAGTTTTTGTGTTTCTTTGTTGAGTAAAAAGGTCTAATTGAAAGGTGAGCATGGTTGGACATGAAATTACCAAATCATCAAAGTTAACTAACGAGCTGGTGTCGATTCTTTTCAGTTCATTCGGAGCGATGGCTTCTAAAGGCAGCGGGACGATGGAGGTGGCGGCGCTCGGACGGCCTTTCAGCCTCGGGATGTTGTACGACTGCCGCAACGACTCTCTTGTCCCTGGTGAGGAAAAAACATCACCTTTAAAACCAGATATTTTCTTTTTGCCAGGAACGAAACACACAGATGAAAAGTTATTTGAAATGTGTTTTTGATAGCATGGATTAGATGTGTGTGTTGATGGAAGAAACAGGTTTGGACTAGCTTGTTTATGTGAGGCTCAAGTTCAGATTCTGATTAATATAAACCCAGGTTTCCTGATTAGGTTTTTGACCTTGGGTTCTGATGTAGGATTTATGTCAGAGATCCCTGTGGAACTCCAGAGTAAAGGGGCAGATCAGTTTGAAATAGGTTGCCCAAATCAATTATATCAAACACTACAAATCATGGTTGATTGGGATCCGAGGAATGCTGGACATATACAAACCAGAGAATATTAAACAGAAGAGTTTTTTTTAGATTGAACCAGCGTGGTCTTGGGTAATTATGGATGGTAGCCTTTAGTCCAGAATATAATCCAAGATATTAACAAACAATTTACAATTGCTACAACACTAAACAGCTACATATAAAGGTAGCAATGACAAATAATAGGATCATTTTTCAATAGATAAGAGACAGAGGCCTGACAGAAAGTAAAATGGTGGCCCGCAACAAAATTACCAAAAACATAGAAGAAGTTTGGCAACAACATGGCACCAAATATCTTCAAATATTCAACTGAAATTCCACCAGTGCATGAGCTAAAGGACAGCATTCAGCTATGACATTTTGATATAAATAATGTCCGCTTAGGTGCCCTGTTGGATGGCCTCCAGGTCTTGTTTGATTTCAGCTTGGAGACCAGCGCTCTAGTAAGTATCCATCTTGGCTTTAACTACCTGCAGGAAAGCCTTCTCATCAGGGTTATTTTGGATGCTGGAGAAAGTAGTGCTGTCATTATCCTTTGTTTGAGAGCAGAACTATACACAGTGACTTTGGTTGAATACTTTTAGTTTAACATGCCATGACAATCACAAAATGTTCTACAATGTGTAGGCTACTGATTGCTGTTGTCTGTCACTGTTACCGCTGAACTGGAAGTTATTTGACTTTTATTGTTTATAATAAACTCAGGACGGCCAGATGACAGCATCAACCGAAGGTGTTCAGAAATCACAGAATAAAAAAACGATGAACTAATTATCATCTGTTTCGTGGTATACCGTAGAAATAACCCCAAATAACACTGTATCCAAGTGTACCTGAGGGCACCAGAAGAACCTGAGATCTGCACCACTCTGTCAGGTTCACAACATGGACCCAGTGTAACAGTCATGAAATTAGTCAAGGACATTAAACTGATTTGTGTCTTTTTGTCTTGTAAGACAAGCTTTCTCTATTATCATTAATGTTCTCAGGAATCGCATCACTGAACAAATCATTCTATATCTCAGTTCCTAACAACAGGAGAGCTACAATTACTGGAAAGACGATGCTTTGATTCCCCTCAAAGTTATAGTGTGTATTAACATGAATCTGGTTCTAGCTTGATTTCTGGTTCTTCTTTTGCAGGAATGACTTTGTGGGACCGTGAGGACCTTAAAAAGAATATTGGAGAAAGACCACAGAGCTATAATGATTTTGAAATAGTTGCATCTGAAACAATTGAGGACAAATCTTCAGCACTAAATGTTAAAGCATCTCTGAAGGCAAGTTTCTTGAGTGGACTGGTAGAGGTTGGAGGATCAGCCAAATACCTGAACAAT